ATTAAGCGATTATTGTGTATTGTGGAGCCGTGAGACCAGCCAGGAGGGCACATTTGAGATTCCAGATTAGGTTACTGTCCAGAGAAATGCAGATACAAAACACCGCTAAAGAAATTATGTTGTTCCGTTTAGTTGTTTTTTCCTTTTTGAGTTAAATGTTTGAGATCGTTTTGTTGGGAAGTGCTGTGCCGTTTGTGCTTCATATCCCGTAAAGTTGCAAAACTAACACCATGACAGTGGGTCAGCTACACATCGTCTTTTGCCATTTACAAAATATCGAATACTGACACTTGTATTCGGCTTAAATTGATCTGGTGTGTACATGTGTATATATGTAAATATACACACATATATATAGAGAGAGAGAGACAGAGAGAGAAAGAGAGAATTTGTGAGACAGACTGATAGTGTGAGGGAAAAATATGGGGAGAGTGAGTGAGAGTTTGAGAGACATAGAGCGAGAGTGTGCTTGGGGTAGTGAGTTCCATACATTCCCGACCATTTGAGTGAAGAAATTCTTCCTCAACTCAGTACGAAAGGGTTGGCCTCTGATTTTAAAGATGTGACACCTGGTTTTAGTTTCTACAACCAGGGGAAAAAATCTCACACTATCTGCTCTATCATGCCCTTTGATGATCTCATAGGATTCGATAAGATCCACTCTAATTATTTTATATTGTAGAGAATATAGGCCCAAATTGATCAGCCTACCCTCGTAACTCATCCCTTTCATCCCCGGTAATAATCGAATAAATCTACGCTGATCTACGCAGGGCATTAATCAGCAATGAATGCCCTGAAATACTGCGGGGAAGGAAAGAAGGATATCGCAAGAAAAGATAAAATGTGAGCAACTGAAAAGAGGAAGGAGGTGATCCGTCAAAGAGGCTAAACTTAGAGCGTAAATGTGTGGTTTCTTCTGTCTATGTACTGTTGCATTTGACTCCAGGATTCATTGCTGCGTGCAATCCTTCCATAGTTTTACACGGGAATCAATGTAATATGTCGTGACTGTGTATTTGCAGACGAACACAAACACGCAGAATTGCGCACACAGCAATGGAGAAGAGTCCAATATGACAACAGGAAAAAAAACTACTTCTTCATTACACAAAATACTCAGCGCTGGGTGTCCAGCTCAGTTCACAGCACCCAATCGGAGCTTTGCTCACCGCACTAAAATAACATTCTGCGGTTTCTCAGAATCAGCTTCACGCTGGCGGTTTGTTTGCAATTGTTGCAACAATTCCTGTAAAGGCTAATACATGTCGTGTTCGTTCTGCAGAGAGAGAGAGAGAGAGAGAGAAAGAGAGTCTGAGTCTCTGATTCCATCTCTAAGCGTCGCTAAATATACATCTGTAAGTCACAGTTTGTGTTCTCTCTGAATGTGTGTTTATGTGTGTGTGTTGTGTGTTTGTGTCTGTCTGTATCGGGGTGTGGGTGTGTCAGAATGTTCCTCCTTGTGTGTGTCATAACAGCGTTAGATGTAAGTGTTACAGAGAAGTGGATGTTTGGTGATCACAGAGCAGAGTGACATTGTCAAAAGCTTCTCCTGAGAATTACTCCATGTGATCTAAGTCTGCACAGATCCCTCCCCGTCGGACACAAACACAAGCCGCCAGGTTCTGTACTTGACTCGAGCGCCTCCACATTTTCGAAATGGAATCATTGTTTCTTATTTTCGGTGAGTATCGTTTCCATCCACGAATATTTGTGGGAATGTACCGTAAAGTGGGGTTCTGTAGCTCTGTGGTTAGAGCAATCGCATTGCAAGCGAGAAACCTTGGTTCTATTCCAGGCAGGGCAATTCTATTCTATTCTATTCCTTGGGCAAGTTCTACACCACACGCCTAATAATAATTTCTCCTAAACAAAACAATAATAAATTGGTCATTTTCAATCCCCGACTATTTGTAGGACACTGCTATGTGCAATTGCCTGCCGCACTTTTCCCACAAATATACGGTGAATTCACGTTAGACATGTCCACAATAATAATAATAATAATAATCCTTGCATTTGATATAGCGCTTTTCACGTCGGGAGGACGTCCCAAAGCGCTTCACAGAATGTACAGAAGGCATGAGAAGCGCTATTTGAAATGCAAGCATTATTATTTATTATTATAACCCATTCGGATAGTCGTGCCAGCCAGAGAGATGGAAATGAGAGAAGAGTGAGAGGCGTCTTTTTTGATCCTCAACTATCCTATGTATCCCAAACCCGTACCATAATCCTCTCTGCCTTCCCCCATTTCCGCAACATTAACCAATTCCGCCACTGTCTCACACCGCAGGCTGCCGGAACCCTCATACATGCTTTTATAACATGCTTTTCTAAGATCCAGGATTCTGTACGCATACACACTGCGTGTCTGCCTGCCCAAATACTCCCGCTATCGGCTGCAGATCAACCAGAAATCTGCAGCTAGTGTCAGCTCCTCCACTAGGCTCTGTGACCGTATCATCCCCATTCTTGGATACAGTTCAGGATCCTGTTACTCACCTTGGAAGCCCTCCACGTCCTCACTCAGCCTTACATCTGCGACTTCCTAACGCCTTACCAATCTGCTCGCTCCCTCAGCTTAGTGGACTCCAGCCTCATTCATGCCTCCGACCTCACAGTCCCACCATAGACGGGCGAGCATTTAGTCACTCTCTAACCATCCACTGGGTCTACATTCTGAAATCCGCCTACCTCACCCTTTCCTTGCTTCCTTCAAGATAAATAAGAACACTCTTCCCTTTGACCGTGCGTTCGATCACCTTAGTTGTCTTTATCCTCCAGGCTCCTTAATTTTTTGTTGGTGTAGGAGAGGCGGGAGGGGCGAATGCAATAGGGGAGAAAGGAGACAATGAGGAGAGAAAGTCATTTCTATGCTTTCCCTCATTAACGTATATTTAATACTGTACCAATGCAAGATGTCAAAATGCAAGTTGTTATTGTTGGGTAACAGGACAGGAGCTACCAGGAAAAACAACAGCAGTAAGCACACTTCATACAGAAATAGAGACACAATCTGCTCAGTCTGTTAGACACAAATTTCTCAGGTAGTAAGTGGTCAGCAAATCGCTTCTTCTCCAAGACTCGAAAGAGAAACAGAAACACAAACGGCCCTTACTCAGAAAATAAATATCAGAAGTCGCTGGGAACACTCAGAATGTCAGGAAACATCTAAGGAGAAAGGAAGGATAGTCAACGTTTCGTGTCCACGACACTTCGTTAGATCTGCTACCTCAACTGCTGTCTGTTCCCAGCGACTTTTGTTTTTGTTGGCTGATATCCAGCATCTGCAGTAATTTGTGTTTTTTCTTGCACAGAAAATGATGTTCAGCCCAACGGTGTGTTTGTCAGTCTGTGAAAGTTATCTTTGTTCAGTCCTGTTGTGCCTGTGATGGTGCTCACTCCCCCAATGGAGCTCTCTACAATAATCCCAATCCCTCTCCGCTTTTTTCCGATTGTATTTGCGCTAGTTTTCGCTTCCCCACTCATGATCTTTTTGACGGCGAACTTGAGTGGCTGCCTGTAGTCAAGGAACGATTGTGTGACGGCAGATTTTTGGGTGAATTATTTATTAATAATTCCTGCTTTGATCTTTCTTTCCCTTGTACAGTAATACTTCTGGAGAGAAAGTCTGTGGAATCTGCAGGTTAGTGACACAATCTAACAACCAAATCTTGCTATGGGAATATTATCTCTTTTCCTAAACCGCTGTGCCTTTCCCCTTCCTTCTCCATGTTCAGTTAGCTTTTGAAGAACTTCAAAATCGACCATGCTTCGTTCTGGAGTATGGTGTTCAGTACATAGGAAGCGAGTCTGCTCTGAGGGATCTGCACTAAAATATTCTGTAACAAAGCAGTCAACCATGGCCGTATTTTGTGTGAAATCTCCTTTCGTATATAAAGTTAGAACAATAAAATATATTATATACATTTTATATAATATAACGTGTAATAATACAATACAAAATATAGTAATCTAATATAAACTATGATGATAATAAACATCGATTGATTTGTTAGAGCGTCTTTCGGGTCACAAAATGCTTCACAGATTGTACTGCAATATGAAACGGCTATATGTTTGTGGGCGAAATACGGCAGCCATTCGCTCACAGTGGTTTCTTACAAAGATTCACGGACCAAATTACTTTTTTCTAAGGCATTATGATCCCCAGAAAAGAAACCGCAAATTGACTTCTGAGATCCTACTGACTGCAAGATAGACAGAACATGTGGATAGAGGAAACTTGTGTAAAATTGTGCCCTGACCGTGAATCTAAATATAAAGTATGATAATCTGATCTTGAGTATAATATTCTAATATCAACAAGAATAGTTTAATATAAAGTATAACAGTCCAATATGATGTAAAATAATCCAATATCAGTCTAATAATATAGAGCATAATAATATAAAGTATTATATCACTATCTTTTAATTTTAAACGTAGCTGCAACAGGTAAAGCTAATACGGCAAAAACCTATTACTCTTATAGTGACACCTGGATTATGGACTGTATATAGCCAGCAATCACTGCAACCATTGCAATGATTATTATTGTTGTTTTTTTTATCGCCAAACATTCTCCCAATGTGACAGATTCTCTGTACATGTACATTAAATTGTATTATCCTGAGTGACTGGAAGTCAAAGAGGAAACAGACTCGTAAATCTGCGTATGATGTTTTACACCGAGTGTGAGGCTGGTGAATGGCGGCAGCCGTTGTGCCGGGAGAGTGGAGTTTCAATATGGAGGAAAGTGGGGCACAGTGCGTGGTTATGGCTTTGTACGGGGCTGGTTTGATGACCGTGGTTGGGATATGTTGGACGCGGCTGTGGTGCGTAACGAGTTGGACTGTGGAGTCGCGCTGTCAGCATCAGGAGGCGCTCACTTTGGGAAGGGTTCAGGTCACGTTGGGACGTACGATGTTCGGTGCAGATGGAGTGAGTCTGGCCTAAGATATTGTCCCTCAGGGACCTGGGGTCACTATGCCTAGTCACACTCCTCTGATGCCGGCGTCATCTGCTCAGGTAATTAATTCATTGTCTGATCATTTTTCTTTCTCATGTTTTCTTTAAACCACGATTAGGTAAATTCTGATACAAGTTTTTTAACCCACAATATGTCAGTGGATTATTACTAAATCTGGGGTGGAGGGGTTGATGGGAAGGAGAGAGTTCACGCTCATGGCCCTGGGGACATTAATGCGGGTCGCACACTTATGTTGTCGGCGTCATCTGCTTAGTTAAATAAATCTGTCGATCATCGTCAGGTCGTTTTACAAGAGATTCGTTTGGTGGGGTGAGCACGGGATGGGTGCAGTGGTGAACACATTCGACTCAGCACAGGGGACGACCCCAAGGGGCAGAGTATAAGGGCGAGAGTACATGGTGGGTGAGCGCAGGGACGAAGTATATGGAGGTGTTCCAGAGGAGTTGAGCATATTTGGGGTCATCACAGGGGGCTTGAGCACACGGAGTTGGGAGATAACAGTTGGGAGGTGGTCAGCACAAATGGGGGCAACAAGGGGGTAGAATACAATGGGGTGAGCACAGTAGGAGTGAACATAGAGGAGCGATTAGCATTCGGTGGATAAGCGTTGGCCCGGTGGTGAGCACGGGAGTTGTAATGAGCAAGGTAGACGTAAGCACCGGGGGTTTGAGAACAGCAAATGGTTGAACACATGGTCGGTAAGCACTTCGGAAACCTAAGATGTGGAGCACAAGGGGTGAGCAAATGGTGTGAGCACATACGGGGAAGTGAACAAGGGGGTGAGTACGGAGGGTACGATGGGGGGAAGCAGAGGGAGGGAGCACAGGAGATGAGCACAGGGTCTGACAACAGGTGCTGAGCACAAGTAGGGGATGATAGTAGGAGGGAAGGTCACAGTGGTTTAGGAGCAAAATTTGGGTAAAGCAAATGGGGAGCACTGGGGTGGCAGGCAAACACGCGTAGCACCTGGGGTTTGTGCAAACGAGAAGAGCATGGGGAGAGTATGGGTGTGAGCACAGAAGTGTGAGCTGATGTGTGCTAAAGAGTTTGGGTGAGCAAAGTGTCGTGATACATAGGATGAGTAAGAACACAAGGGTTTTGAGCAAAAGGCGCGGAGGGCTTTTGCCCTGGAGGATGCTGTGCACGTTGGGGAGGCTGTACCTTGATTGGCAGCTGTGCTCTGGGCAGCAGCTGTTTCCGGAGGATGGCTGTGTCGGTGTGGCATTTCGCAGGGGTGCATTGTGCCCTGGGGATGGTCTGTGACTGGTAGGGGCTGTAACTTTGGAGTTCGGCTGTCTCCATCGCGCTGTGTGGGTTGGGTGCTCTGTGGAGGGACTGTCCTATTAGGCATCTCTGTACCCTGGGTAGGTGGCTGTTCCTGTGGGAGCTGTACCATTGTGGGGGCTTGTGACCAGGGTTAGGGGAAGAACTGTGGTAGGGTCTGTACAGTGGGGATAGGTCGGTGGGCCCTGGGTTTGTTTTGTCTTGTGAGGGCTCTACCGGGGGCAGTGTGGGTTTCTGCAGGAGTTCAAGATCGCTGCTACTAGTGGGGAAGCTGTGCCCTCGTTTGTAGGGGAGGGGAAGGGAGCGCTGTGCCGCAGGATGGCGCCGCTGTGCCTGAGAAGCAGCTATCGGAGGTGAGAGTAGTTGCTGTTACCTGGGAGGGGTTTTTATCAGGGAGAGCGGTCTTTGTCTGGATCTGGCTATACCTGGTGTCGGGCTTCCCTGTGTGGGGTTTGTGTACCCTGGGGGCTTCGCTATTTCCTGTGGACGGTTGCCGTGCCCGAGGGGATGTCTTCTGTTTTGTATTGTAGCGACTGTGCACTGTCGAAGGGGTCTGTGCGTTGGGGTGTGGCTGTGCTCTGGCGCTGTAGGTGGTGGAAGTGTCCTCGGGGCGAGGTGCTTTGGCCGGAGTTGGGGTTGTGCTCGTGTCTGTGCCTGGGTTCGTTCGTGTTGTGTGTGGTTGTGCACTATATACGTCCGCGCCTCCCCCACACGCCCATACACACATACACATACATTCAAACAAGAAAAAGCGATATATTAATGCAATCATAAAACAACAATATCTGCATCTGGGAATCTGCCAAAGCGCAATAAACAAATGCTGTAGAACGATATTTACCTCTTCGTGAAGTTCTTGTTTGCTTCAGAGTCGTGGCCAATGCCGATCGTTGATGAGCTACAAATAAATATATTTAATGAAGCTCCAAAATATGATGTGTGGATAATATTCCGCAATGAGTTAGCGACAGAGAAAAATCACACAATATTCTTTCAGTAACACGTGCGCATTAATGTATGCTGTCGCAAAGCAGTAAACCACTGCCATAGTTTTGGGGGAATCTCCTATCTTATGTAAATTATAATAATCTATATTAAGTATAATAATATAATATTAAGTATAATAATATAAAAACTATATCCTTCTCTTCCAAACGCAGCTGCAACCGTTATATCTAGCGGTGGAATTAATTGTTAATATTACTGCTGATACCCGGGTTTTCGACTGCAAGTAGCTAACAGTCATTGAAACAATTATAATGATTAATATTGTTGTTGTATTGTTTACCGTCGAGAAACCCTCCCAAGGTGACATGCACCTTGTGCTGAATTATTCTGGATTCCGTCAATACTCTGTGGGATGTCTTACAGTGATTGTGAGGCAGATGTTTTTTTTCTTTTGGCAGATGTTTTGAGGCTGGTGAATGGCGGCAGCCCGTGTGCCGGGAGAGTGGAGGTTTACCACGATGGACAATGGGGCACAGTGGATGGCTACGGCTCTGGTGACAGTGGTTGGGATATGGCGGACGCGGCTGTGGTGTGTAAGGAGTTGGGCTGTGGAGCCGCGCTGTCAGCATCAGGAGACGCTCACTTTGGCGAAGGCTCAGATCCCGTTGTGACGTGGGATGTTCGTTGCAGAGGGAGTGAGTCTACTCTGAGGGATTGTCAGTCACAGCCCTGGGGTGGTGGCTATTCCTGGCCACACACCTATGATGCCGGCGTCATCTGTACAGGTAAATATTTCAGTCTTCGATCATTTTTCTTTTCTCATGTTTTCGGTAAACTACGGATCGAGGAACACTGTTAAAGATTGTGTCCCACAATATGTTAGTTTTTATGAAATCTGAGAGGAGAGGTTGCGCTCATAGCCCTGTGATAAATTTTCCGAATCCAATTCCAATGATGCCGGCGTCATTTGCTCAGTTAAATTAGTGTGTCTCTGAGAATAACCACGTGCTCGGGTTGTGTGCGAGTTGTGAGCAATGGGTGTGTGAGAGAGTTGAGCACAGGGGGCTGAGCATTGCGGGTGTGCACAAACGAATGCGTGAAATGGAAATGAGTACAGGATCCGTGAGCACAGGGCGACTGAGCACAGTGGGTGAAAAATGGCAGGGAGCGCATTTTGTGAGCAGAAAGGGATTGGTCGCATAGTATCAGCCTATGGTTTTGCAGGTCAGGTTTGAAGACATTGAGCGATAGCACAGAGATTTGAGCACAAGGTTTGTTGAGCTCAGGCGGAATAGGCACAAGGGGCTTGGTGTGATCACAGAGGGCCGAGAAACATGTGTGCTGAGGAGAGTGCTATGGGTACATTGGGTGTGAGTATGTGTTGGATAAGCATGGTTCGTTGAGCGCGTTGGGGGAATGAGCAGAGGGCTTTGAGAACAGGCTTGTTTAGCACAGGAAGTGGAGTACACAGGGGTAAGCTCCTTGAAGAGCACACGTGGGGCACAGTTGTTGTGCACATGAAGCGTGGTGAGCAAAGGAGGTCAGAGAACAGTGTCAGCGCAAATGATTGTGATCTCAGTAACTGAACGCAATCAGCGTGAGCACAGTGGGGGATCTTTTTTTCTTAACTCGAGTGGGGTGAACATAAAGGCAGAGCGTGGATGTTTTGAGCGCCCGGAGGGGAGAGCACAAAGCGGAGTTGAGCATAGGTGTGGCGAATACAGTGGAAAAAGCACGAGGAAGGTGCGCACGCTAGTGGAGTGATCCAGTGTGGGTTTTAGCACACGGGGCTGAAAAACAGAGGGGTGAGCACCGGATCTGAGCCCGGGAAGAGTTAGCAAAAAGTGGGGAGGAGAGTGCTGGGTGAATAAAGGTTTGGAGTGCAAATGGAGTTGAGTACAGTGGGGATGAGCACACAATGATGAGGAGAGGTGCAAGGAGAGCACGGGGCGATTCGGTGTGCATCACAGCGATCGGCACAGCTGGGTTTAGAGCATGGGAATTTTAGGCCGAGAGTGTAGCTGCTTCAAACAATTTGGGGAGCACAGGAGGTGATAATCGGGGAATGCGTATGTGGTGCGGAGCACACCGGGAAGAACAGGGGTTAAACACATTGAGTAGACTACAGGGTTACTGCACATGGGTGGGTGTGAGCACAGGATGGAAGTGTACAGGGGAAGTGGAGCACAGTATAGATAAGAAGAGTTGGCTTGAGCACAATGTAGAGCAAAAGGAAGGGGTGAGCAGAGGGGCAGCACTTGGAGGGCAATCCCAGGCTAAGAACACGCAAAGGCGAGCAGAAATGGCGGGGAGCAGAGCCACGTGAAGCGAAACAAAGAGGGAGTGTGTACGTTGGGTTCTAAAGACTGGGTGAGGTCATATTGGGGTTGAGCACAGTCGGTGGAAAGAGGGCGCAGTTTAAGAGCATAAGGTGGAGGATTAAGTACAAGTGGAGGTGAGCACAGGCGGAGAAGATAGCGGTATGAGCACAAGTCGGGTGCTGCATACACGGGAGGTAATCACAAGGCAATGGGCAACAAAGGAGAGTTAATGACGGAGTGGTCATATGGGTGACAAGCAAATGGTGGGAAGCACAGGAGGATAAGCACAAAGTGGAGTAGCACAGTCGAAATCACAGGAGGGTCACAAGGCGGTGATAAACAGAGTTTGAGCAGACGGAGGGTGAGCGCAATAGGGGTTCAGCAGAAGACGTGTGTGCGTAGCCGGGGTTTGAGCACGTGTGTGGTGAGCTTCGGTGGGTGTGTGCACAAGGGGCTGAACACAATAAGATTGAGCACTTGGTGTCCAAGAACAGGGAAGTGGGAGAACATGGCGGAGTGGAAAGCGAGAGAGGATCTGAAGAGAAATGTTTACAGACGATGAGTAGAGAAGGAACTGAGTACAGTGGGGCTGAGCACAGGGATTGGGAACAGGTGTATGCTGAGAGCACCGGGGTGCGAAATACATTGGGATTGATCACAGCGGTTTGAGAAAGATACGTTGAGCATCGGGTGAGCGCATTGGGGAACACTGGGGCAGTACACAGGGGGCAGAACCAGGAGTTGCAGACGGTGGGGTGGGGGTGCGTGGAGGGGCCTGAGGGTTAAGAACAGGATGTCAGTGTAATGGCAATAGAAGGTGAAGCGTGAAAGAGCAGTGGGGATTCAGAACCTTGTTTGGTCGGCCTGACTGCGGACACGGACTGGACGGAGGCATATTCTGTTCGGGTGTAGATCACAACTACAACAACGTTCCATTGATATGGGTCGGGGTGGGGTGGGGGGAGTAGGGCCAATGGAATTTTAATTTGGGGATTGTTGGCAAAGTCACCAGGAAAAGAATCCCTTCCGTTATTGAATATCGTCATCAGATTTGTTACTACTACCTGAACAGGCAGTCAAGGCTACACGCAACTCCAGCTCACACTGACCCCGAGCTCACACTGACCCCGAGCTCACAATCATCCCGAGCTCACACTGACCCCGAGCTCACACTGACCCCGAGCTCACACTGACCCCGAGCTCACACTGACCCCGAGCTCACACTGACCCCGAGCTCACACTGACCCCGAGCTCACACTGACCCCGAGCTCACACTGACCCGAGCTCACACTGACCCCGAGCTCACAATCACCCCGAGCTCACACTGACCCCGAGCTCACACTGACCCGGAGCTCACACTGACCCCGAGCTCACACTGACCCCGAGCTCACACTGACCCCGAGCTCACACTGACCCCGAGCTCACAACTGACCATGAGTTCAGATTGACCTGAACTCAAACTCAGCCCGAGCTCACACTATAATGACCCCCAGCTCACATTGAGCTCGAATTCACACTGACGCCCTGCTTATACTGAATCGAGTTCACAATAATAATAATAATAATCATCCTTGCATTTGATATAGCGCTTTTCACGTCAGGAGGACGTCCCAAAGCGCTTCACAGAACACACTGTAAAGTGAATGAACTGTATATTTGTGGGCGAACGCGGCAGCCAACTGCGCACAGCAATGTCCCACAAACACTCGTAGATTGAAAGTGACCAATTTATTATTTTTTTTTGGTTCTGGAGGGATTATTATTAGGCTCTGTACGGAGTAAGGAAACTTGCCCAAGGTTTCGCCCTCTGCCTGGAATTGAACTCAGGTCTCTCGCTTGCAAAGCGAGTGCTCTAACCACTGAGCTACAGGTCTCCACTCAGTGACACCCAATGACCCCCAACTGACTCTGACCCTCGAGCTCACGCCGAACAGGAGCTCAAACTGTCCCCGAACTCACACTGAGAAATAAGCAAATACACAGTTTTCGTCTGAACTGAACTGTTTTCATGTTACGGAGCGAGTGTTTGTGAGATTATATTCGCTTTAATTTCAGAACCGCTCCAGAAACCCACCATTTCCCTGAAGCCAGATTCACGGGTGTTTGTGAGAGGGGAAAGCGCTGAGATCTCATGTTCTGGAAATTATCCAGGCAGTAATTTCTCTTTATACAGAGAAGAGAAGTTCATCGCATCACAGTCGGCTCCTGAGAATAACAACACGGCAACATTCGCCCCATCGGAGATCTGTGCAGGAAATTATTGGTGTAAATATGCTAAACATTTGGACGCACGCGAGCTCACATCACCAGAGAGCGATCGAGTGGGAATCTCTTTGTGGGGTAAAAGCGAGATCTTGAACTCTCTCATCAAGGGGCATTCACTGTCCCCTAGTGTCCAATCACTGCGATCATATCACGCCTCCGCCCCATCCTCACTTTACTTTATCTAATCATGGAATCATACAGCACAGAAGGAGGCAAATTTGCCAATCGTGCCTATGCCAGCTGTTCTTACGTGGCTAGCCGATTAAATGCCACTCCCCAACTCTCTCGCTACAGCCCTAGAAAATTGTCCTCCCCAAATAATTATCTTATTTTACCAGCTTTTTTACACGAGATTATCTGCATTGCTCCCTTCCTCCATCAAACTGATTCCCTCACTTCCAACAGCACGCATCCTTCCTCACATTCACTGCCTCCCTCAACCAATTTTCCACCCTCCCTCACAAACCTTGATAACCTCCTACAACACCATTGCCTTTCACAAACTCTATTACTCCCACAACGTCTGTTTCTGCCTCCAAATTCTTGACACACTCCAAAACTTCCTATTCCCCTGTCGCTCATTGCCTCGCACACTCCCACTGCCTCAAAATCCTATATGTCCCTCTCACTCAAATGAAGGTGTGATTAGGTCTGGGATGTATCCAGACTATCTGATTTAATCTTAGCTTCAGTTAGCGAATTCCACAATCCCACATCCCTCTGTGTGAAGTCGATGCTCCAGAATTAAGTTTGATAAGCTGGTTGACACCCTACGCTGTTGTTTAAAACACTGCTGAAAATCACACGTGCTGTCCAGATTAAATTCCCGTTCTCCCGTCTCATGCTGAAGCTGTTAGATAGTTGCCCGGCCTCACTGCCCTCCGTGTGCACTCCGCTCTCAGCCGTTGTGCCCCCTTCCTCTGTCTAAAGAAATGATTGCTTGAGTTTGCCCTGAAACTGCCCCTCAGAACCTTTACCTCGTCCAGACACCTTCATCAGGCTTGGGAAGAAGTATATGGTCATGTATGCTGCAATCTGAACCGTGTCTATCCACAGAGCGAATATTTGTGAGATGATCTTTACTGTGTTTTAATTCCAGATCCGCTCCAGAAAGCCAAAATTTCGCTGAAGCCAGATTCCCGAGTGTTTGTGAGAGGGGAAAGCGCTGAGATCTCATGTTCCGGAAATTATCCAGGCAGCAATTTTTCTTTATACAGAGAAGGGAAGTTGCTCTCATCACAGTTCGCTCCTGAGAATAACAACACGGCAACATTCGCCCCATCGGAGATCAGTGCAGGAAATTATTGGTGTAAATATGCTAAACATATAGACGCACGCGAGCTCACATCACCAGAGAGCGAACGAGTGGGAATCTCTTTGTGGGGTAAGAGCGAGATCTTGAAATCTCTCATCAATGGGTATTCACTGCCCACTAGTGTCCAGTCACTGCGATCATATCACGCCTCCGCCCCATCCTCACTTTATTTTATTTCATCATGGAATCATACAGCACAGAAGGAGGCAAATTTGTCAATCTTTCCTTTGCCAGCTCTTCTGAAGTAGCTAGCCGATTAATTCCCACTCCCCAACTCTCTCGCTACAACCCTGGAAAATTGTCCTCCCCAAATAAGTATCTTATATTACTAGCTTTTTTATACGAGATTATCTGCATTGCTCCCTTCCTCCATCAAACTGATTCCCTCACTTCCAACAGCACGCATCCTTCCTCACATTCACTGCCACCCTCAACCAATTTTCCACCCTCCCTCACAAACCTTGATAACCTCCCACAACCCCATTGCCTTTCACAAACTCTATTACTCCCACAACGTCTGTTTCTGCCTCCAAATTCCTGACACCCTCCAAAACTTCCTATTCCCCTGTCGCTCATTGCCTCGCACACTCCCACTGCCTCAAAATCCTATATGTCCCTCTCACTCAAATGAAGGTGTGATTAGATCTGGAATGTATCTAGATTATCTGATTTAATCTTAGCTTCAGTTAGCGAGTTCCACAATCCCATTTCCCTCTGTCTGAAGTCGATGCTCCAGAACTAAGTTTGATCCGCTGGTTGACATCCTACGCTGTTGTTTAAAACACTTCTGAAAATCACATGAGCTGGTCAGATTAAATTCCCGTTCTCCCGTCTCATGCTGGTGCTGTTAGTTAGTTGCCCGGCCTCACTGCCCTCCGTGGCCACTCCGCTCTCAGCCGTTGTCCCCCCTTCCTCTGTCTAAAGAAACGACGACTGGAGTTTGCCCTGAAACTGCCCCTCAAAACCTTCACCTCGTCCAGACACCTTCACCAGGCTGGGGAAGAAGCAAATGGTCATTTATGCTATAACCTGAAACGTGTCTATTCACAGAGCGAATGATTGTGAGATGATCTTTACTGTGTTTTAATTCCAGATCCGCTCCAGAAAGCCAAAATTTCGCTTAAGCCAAATTCCCGGGTGTTTGTGAGAGGGGAAAGAGCTGAGATCTTATGTTCTGGGAATTATCCTGGCAGCAATTTCTCTCTGTACAGAGATGATGCGTTTATCATATCACAACCAGCTCCAGAGAATAACAACACGGTAACATTCATCCTATCGGAGATCAGTGCAGCAAACTACACGTGTAAATATACTACACAAATAGACGGACGAGTGTTTACATCAATAGCGAGCGAGCGTATGGGAATCACTGTGCGCGGTAAGATTTGGGTATAATCTCACACAAAAATCTACTTGTCTTCTGACCTTTTACAGTAGCTTCTGTTCTTGTCACTCTTAATATCATCGATCATATTTCCACGTTATTTCCTGCTCTAAGTTGGATTGCTTGAACCAGGCTGCAACCATCCCCGCGATAAAACATTTTCCAAACCCAAACTCCAGAGCCATCCCTGCACAGCATATCTGGGGTTTAAACTCTCTCTACTCTCACCAGAGGAAAGTGCCGCTGCTGACCTGATATCCGTCACTTCGCGGTGTGTTTTGCCGCGGGACATGGTTGGGCGGACCCCAGATCTTGTTCTTGCATAACAGCTGTTATTTACCCAACTACCTCACACATTGACCCAATAGTATAGACTATCCCTTCTTGCCAGGCAACAAACCACCAAGATGCTCACTAACACTTGTGTTTTTAAAGCCAAAGTGGAAATAATCCGGCTCCAAGTGGCCGATCTGCTCCTCAACCTCTTGGCGATGAGCCAGGCTGGCCTGTTTTTTTATCAGCAGTTCCCTTGAATACTGGGGACATGCCTGGCTAATGGAGCAGACTGGGGACCATCATCAAGTGTGTCGTCGATTCCGATCTTCCGCAGCTTGGCTATTCACCTGCGCAGCCCCAGAAGAGGCCCTGCTTAGCGCAACCTCCCCAGGATCAAGCGTCGAGATGTTTTCTCTTGAAGACAGACGAGGGGAAATTCGGCAATTTTCATTGCAAAACAGAAAACATTTCCTTCTTTTGCGCATTCAAATCAGGAGGAGATGAGACCTAAGTGATGCATTTAAAGTGATTGGTTTACCCCCAATATTAGCACTTCAAAGTCGACAAATTACTCTGGTCATTTCCCTCTCTAGCAAATTGGACCTGGAAGCACATTACAGGATTGGCTGCGGGGATTGTCGCTGCGTTAATGATAATTGTGTTACTACTGGGAATCAGTGAATATAAAAAAGGTAAGTGGCCAATAATATCAGTAAATATGGCTTAAAGTTATTGGGAATAAATAATAATGTTAATAAACCTTGCATTTGATATATCGCTTTTCCTGTCTTCTCGAAGTCGCAAAGCGCTTCACAGAACATGCTGTCAAGTGAATTTACTGTATATTTGTGGGCGAAAATAAGGAGACAGGAAAGTATACAACGACTGTGTATTGATATTCTGCGTGTCAATGAGTGCAGATGGGGACCTGACAACAAAGCTCCCAAACAGTCATTCAGTCTTTATCAAGTCATTTATTGTTGGGACAGATTAGACAGCATCATGGATCTTAGTTAGAAAGACATGTCGTTGTTTATGTTAGCAAATAGGCAATGAGTTTTATCCTTAACTTTGAGTATTTGATAATATCGATGTTTAAAGGCTGTAGACAATGATCCTTTTGGATTGAGATAATTACTAACAATATTCAGTACAGTCCCCTACTCTTGTTTCCAAGTCTTTGTTCCCTGTTAAGTTTTTCAGCCTCCCACAGTGAGAAAGTTAAAACGAGGTCCTGTTTTCCTGATCATGTGGACATTACAGTTCCTGCAGCAGCATTCGAAAAGAGAAGGGAGAAGGGACAATCCTGGCCAAAAATCCCCGAAATAAAATGGATCACTCACTCCATGTCCGCCTTTTTTACCCACTTGTGTGCAATGGGCTGCCGCATTTCATTAAAAAAGCAGAGTCACTACAATTTGAGTGCAGTGTTTATTACACAGAATAGAAATAATAATACAAGACACGGTTGAAGTGATGGGTCTTGTGGTGTGAGGGTGGGAGCAGAGCTAAATCAGATGGAAACTGGGATGTATTTACAAATAACGTGGCGAAGTGGCTGAAGGCACATCCATGGATGGTGGTAGTGATGGGAAAGTGTTTGGGTAGGGACTGCCCTTTGTACTGAAACGGTAATAATCTATGAAAGGGAGGATTATTGTTCATATTACCACAAAAATACACAACCCGTACTGATCAATATTTGACATGCGTTACCCTTTGCAATTACAGGTAAACAGCACAGTTCAAGTGGGGAAAGGTGAGAACATTTCTCCGCTATGTCATTCTATTTCCCCATCCTGCTTGCACTGGTGCTTCCATCCCCACTGGTGCTCACTATACTACTCCCATTCCTGCTTTCACTCCATCGTGTCAGTTGTGGTGCTTGCACCCCACTGGAAATCTCCAATTTAATCCCATTCCTTGCTCTCTCTCCAAACTGTCTGTACATGTGTACACTCCCACACTCATTGGCAACACTTGGAGGGCAGAAAAGATATTGGGGGTAAGGAATCCTCCTACGCAGCTCCTGCTACACTGCAGGACAAATCCTTAATGGGTAGAGATTTCCTAACTCGAAAAGCAGAGGAAAATTGCAAGACGGAGCTTCCTACAGCAAGCCGTGTGGGTTTAGCTGGTGGGATCCCAATTCATAATTTGAGGTCGCTAAATCCTGATTCTTGCCAGATTGCGTCTAAACTACATGGGGCTTAGGTTGGCAGATATAATGCATATTAATTAGAAAAACAGGAATTGCCTTCTATTGGAGGCATGACTGGAATTCATCGTATGGTATGCATACTCGTCACCATGTTGATGGGTTTCTATACAAGCCTCAGACAACTGGCTGCTAACCCAAATCGTCCCGCACCTCCTCGCTTCACCACAGATCAGTTTCTGGTCGTTAGCCCTGTTACAAGCCTAGGACTGGGCACCGCAATCCTCCTCAGTGAAAGAGCAGAGAGTACGTCGTTCTCAACTCTCTGTTTTTTTTCGCAGGAACGTACCCACGGGAGGCGGCCCTGAACCGAGCAACGTCACCTGTGAGTGAGAAGTTTCCTAGGTTTGAGTCCTGAGTGAAAAGAGCTGATCACAAACTCGTCAGGTCAGCCGATAGCCCGAGCCCCACCCAAACCAATCCTGCTCATGAGCCTCCCCCAAACCAGAGGCTATTGATTCCTTGCCCTCTTTATCTGGATCTGTCTCTCCCCTTGTCAAGTCGATTTTTCTTCCTTCATCTCTGTGGGTGTCTTAATGTGCGTCAATCTGTATGTCTGCCCCTCTCCTTCTCTCTTGGTCTGTCTGCGTTTCTGTCTGTGTGTCTGCCGCATGATTGTCTGTGTGTCTGACTGTCAATCGCTTGTCTCAAGTTGAGCCACTTCAAGATTTTTTCTTTCAGAAGAGACGATATACCGACGTCCCTTCTACCCTCTTAGGTGGACATTAAAGAACCCGCGGCCCAATTCAAAGAGAGAATCTGTCCCTCATGGCCAACAATCTCTCTCTGTCCAACAATCCTCCAGAAAACTATTGTTCACGCCCTGTGTACATCTGATTTTGGAGCTGCTGACACCAGTGCTTGCATGATCATTAAAGATTATTAATTGCAATCTTTTAAGTCCTTAATAATACTTACACATATCCTTGCTCTCTCTCTCTCTCTATGTCTCTCTCTCTCACTCTCTCTCTTTCACTCTCCCGTTACCGTTTGCTTTGTGTGTCTGTTTGTCTCCACTCACCTTCTCCCTTAGTCAGTCTGTGTCTCTTGAGTGTGTCTATCTGTGTGTCTGCCACTCTCCTTATCTCTTGGTCTCTCTGCGTGCCAGTCTGTGTGACTGTTGCGTGTTTGTGTGTCTGTATGTTTTTTTCTGTGTCTCAGACTGTCAATCGCTTCTCTCAATTTGAGCCACTTCAAGTTTCGTCCTTCAGATTTTAAGATAAACGGAGGAATCTTCGGCCTCTTTAGGAGGATATTAAAGATCCCACTGAGCTATTCAAGAACAGAACCTCTCTCAATCGGCCAACGATCTCCATCTGCCCAACAATTCTGAGAACAAAACCGTTCACCTACGTGTGTTTGTGAGGCTGCTGGCATGAATGTCTTCCAGTTTTAATTGACATAGTATCAGTAACTCCATTACACCGTCAATCCTGTGAAGCTCTTTGGGACTTCACGATGTCGTGATAAGTTAGNTTTTTTCAAATGCCATTGTTACCAAAATATTAACTGTGATCTAATATTTACTATCAGCATTATCGTCAATAATTATTTACTGCAACATTTGATATCCTTAATAATACTGTTCAACTATAGTGCGGTTAATGAATTGTGCTGGTGTTAAATACAGTTTCCTTTTGTTTCAGATGCTGTGGTGAGAAAGGTTCCCCGGTCGGTGCCTCCAATGGTGAGTCGTGAATGCATCACTGGCCATTGTCAGGGCAGCTTAACACTGTGTCAGCCTTGCTCAGGCCCTGTACCGGTTCAGCTGAACCAGGTGTCAGCCTACCTCAGGCTCTGTTTCAGCCCACCTCAACCCTGTGTAAGCCCAGCTAAGCCCTGTGTCAGCTCATTTTCTGTACAGCCCAGCTCACGCCCTGTGTCAGCAGACCAGCTTTGGCCGTGTGTCAGACCAGGATAGACCTGGCTCAGCCCAGCTCATCACTGTGTCTAACCCAGCTCAGCCGTGTCAGCCTGGCACGACCCAGCTCAGTCTCTCGGTCACGCTGTCTCAGCCGGCAGCACTCTCGCTTGAGTTATAAATTCATGGTTTTATCCTCAAAGTCGGGAATTTGGCTATTGAGAAAGACAGGGGAGAATCTCGCCTTGCACTGGTCGTCAAAATTTTTTCGCTGATTTCAGCAAAATAATAATAATCCTTGCATTCGGTATAGATCATCTTACATGATGAGGACGTCTCAAAGCGCTTCACAGATTTTACTGTCTTGAAGTGTGACTGGGTATATGAGGGACGTTTCTGTGCACAACTCGGCTGCTCCTTTTGTTTATGGTTATAAACTCTCCGCAAATTGTAATACATGTTCTTAATCACTTTCAGCCGTTCTCTCAACGTGAAAAGCTTCAAAACCATGTGCTTGTGTATCTGTCTACGTGTCTGTGTCTTTCTCTCAGTTTGTCTGTGGCAGTGTCTGTGTGTGTGTCATTGTTTGTATGTGTGTGTGTGTGTGTGTGAGAGAGAGAGAGTGTCTCCATGTCTGTGTGCATCTGCATTTACTTTTACGTTCAAACAGCGTCGTTCACCTCAGAGGAGACCCTTAAAAGCAAGACTATTGTCCCTATTCTTGGCTCCGGTTTATCTACGGGGGGATTTATCAATATACTTTATTCCACTTGCAGGCAATTTAACATGTGTAGTACTCCTGGTGTGGGGAAGGGGAAACAAACGCACTCACACACTGGAGATATGAGTCGGTGTCTCCAGGGAGGGGTGGGTGGTTGGGGAGGGTTTTCTCCCAATGACCTTCTGCAGATATGTTGAGTGTTGCACTGTTTGCAGAATGCTGACATCATCTACGCCAATCTGATGTTGGGAAACAGGATTGAGAATGGCCATGAAAACAGTGAGAATGATGGTCCAATCTACGCCACAGTCAGAGTGTAGCACGGAGGCCGGTGGCCATCTCCTCGCTCCAGCTCCTCATCAGCAACTATATTCAATACCAGCTTCAGTTTGACGACAACGGGTCACTCACTGCACTTGTCTCCCTGACATGGGTGGAGATTGAGTTACAGACTCAGACAGAATGAGTGAGTGAGTGTGAATGAGTTAGAGAGAGAGACTGAGAAAGATATAATGAGACTGAGGGTGAGAGACGGAGCGAGAGATTGAGATGTATTGAAACGGAGAGGAACTGAGTGATAATGTGTGTGAGAGAGTGATTGAATGAGACTGAGTGGGAAACTGAGTGAGAGAAGGAGATAGAGTGAGACATCGGGACTGCCTGCGAGAAAGATTGTGTGAAAGAGAGAGTGTGTGTGTGTGTGTGTGTGTCAGAGAGAGAGAGAAAAGGACTCAGTGAGGGACACCGCGAGAATCAGAGACTAAAAGAAAGATAACGAGAGTGAGAGTCTGTGTGGTAGAGGGAGAGAGAGTAAAAGAGAGGAAGGCAGGTTGTGAGAGAGATGGAGAGACAAAGGACGAGGGGTGTGAGTGAAAGTTTGTATCAGAAATATTAGTGCTTATTCTACTGGATGGCACAACAGTGAGCGTGTTTGAGAAAGAGTGATTGATGGAGAGAGAATGTAAGGGGGGATCGGGAGAAAGGGGGCGAGCAGAGATAAAGTGATGCCGAGAGAGTGTGAGAGGGGCCAGAAAGAGTGCGGGAGGGTAAGAGTGGGAGTGAGAGAGATCAACTGAGAGCAACTGGAAAAGAATGCTTTTGCGAGGAGAAGGTTAATGTGCGATTCAGAACTAAGAGGGCGTTTGAAGTATGAGAGAAGGAGAGAGTAATTGAGTGAGAGAGAGTGTCACAGAGAGAGAGAAACAGGGGTGACACGGAAGGAAGGAGACTGGGGTAGGAGAGAGAGATTCAGAGGCTGAAGGTGAGCGAATGATTGAGAGAGCGATTATGATGGAGACAGGCAGAGAGAGGGATAGAGTAGGGGAAACAAACAAGTAGGAAGAGAGCAGAGAGAGTGAGAGATGGCACAGAGAGTGTGTGCGGGTGGGGGGTTGGGGCGATGCACGTGGGAGGCGAGGTATTGAGAGACAGGAACATAAATAGGGAGAAATAAGGGAAAAGAGTATGAGAGGACACAGAGTGAGGGAGAAGAGAGAAATGTGTGAAAGTACAGACAGTGTGTGCACATCGGCAGCTCTGTTACTTGTTGATGTACCGTCTGTGTTGTTTAATCATAATCAGCTGATGGGAACCGTAACGTGAGCGTTTCTTATATTAACGCAACTGTATTGATCCGATCAACTCACTGCAATTAAATATAATATCCCATATTCAGCGTTAATTTGATTTGATGGAATGTATCGGTTACATTATGCGTCAGCTTGGCAATCTTTTATTAAATTTTACTGCTTAATAAGAAATGTGTATGAATTCTTACTTCAGCGCAAGTTCATGAATACGTAAACCAGACAGAAACAGCTATCAGTGTGAGAATGCGTTGTCACCATGGTTTTATTGATGAGCTGGTCATTATGGTATTAGTGCTGGTCACTATGACGGGGAGGAGGTGTGTGTGGTTGAGGTGGGAGAGGGGCTGGGTGTGGCTGATAAGGGAGATTGGTTGGGTGTGAGTGAGGATGAGGAGTACCTGGATGTGTTGACAGGGTAAGGGCTATGTGTGGATGAGAAGGGAAGGGGCTGGATGTGGGCGAGAATGGTGTGAGGCTTGGTGTGGGTGAGGATTGGGGGTGGCTTGTGCGAGTGAAGATGGGCAGGAGCTGGGTGTTAGTGAAGATGGGGTGGTGCTGTGTGTGCGTGGAGATGGGGTGGAGCTGGGTGTGAGTGAAGATGGGGTGGAGATGGGTGTGAGTGAAGAAGAAGTTGATCTGGGTGGGAGTGAAGATGCGGTCGTACTGCGTGTGAGCTAAGATGGGGTGGAGCTGGGTGTGAGTGAAGATGGGGTGGAGATGGGTGTGAGTGAAGAAGGGGTTGAGCTGGGTGTGGGTGAAGATGGGGTGGAGCTGGGTGTGAGTTAAGATGGGGTGGAGATGTGTGCTAGTGAAGAACGGGTTGAGCTGGGAATGAGTGAAGATGGGGTCGTGCAGGATGTGAGTTAAGATGGGGTGGAGATGGATGTGAGTAAAGATGGGGTGGAGCTGGGTGTGAGTAAAGATGGGGTGGAGCTGGGTGTGAGTGAAAATGGGGTGGAGATGGGTGCCAGTGAAGATGGGGTGGAGCTGGGTATCAGTGAAGATGGGGTGTAGCTGGGTGTCAGTGAAAATGGGGTGGAGCTGGGTGTGAGTAAAGATGGGGTGGAGCTGGTTGTGAGTAAAGATTGGGTGGAGCTGGGTGTGAGTGCACATGAGGTGGAGCTGGGTGTGAGTGAAGATGGGATGGTGCTGGATATGAGTAAAGATGGGGTGGAGGTGGGTGTGGGAGAGGATGTGGTGGGACTGGGTGTGGGTGAAGATGGGGTGGGACTGGGTGTGGGGGAGGATGGGGTGGAGCTCGGTGTGAGTGAAGGTGGGATGTAGCTGGGTGCAGGTGAGGATGGGGAGGGGCTGTTGTGCGTGAGGATGGGGTGTGGAAAAAAGGTGAGTCTTGGCAACAAATATTTACAACAACAAATTGCAGTTTTGTAGCGCTCTTCACGAAGCAAAGACTTACCAATTGAACCCCTGAACGGCCACATATTTCCAGTTTCCTCGTTCCCCAAATCTGACAATAATTACGCACTGAGTGGCGGGAATTTAAAATGCCCTCAAGTCCAGGCAGATAGGAATGGCTGTAAGGCCTGCAGTTACTGGCACATGCCCAGCAGGTAGTGGTGTTGCACTGTAACTCCTCCCTGTGTTCAACGTACGACATCGCCGTCCGGAGGCTGACGTCGGTATTACAGCTCCGCGGGAATCCACTTAATAATTTCTTACTTTTTCAACAAAACAGCCAATAATCTGCATGTAATTAGACTCCTTCACATAGCATAAAAAATCGGAGCTGTTCCTCAGTAGTTTGTTGTACCTCAAAAATACATTTTCATTCCCTTTTCAGCTTTATGTCGATAAACTGTTGCCCACTGAATCCAATTTCACTAAATTTATTACTCATTCTCTCGGTCCGGTGATCACCAACTAATGCTGGAGAGCGGAAAGGCAGTATAAACAATTCATCGAGTCCTCGTTTCTCTCGATGATTGTTGTGCATCAGATGACTATTCTTTCACTGACCAGCTGTGTTCAAATTAAAAACAAAAACCTGAAACTCCACATTACTGCCACTAGATTTTCGCGTTGCACTGTTTAACTTCCTGTAATGATCTGACTAAAATTGCACGTCTTCCTTGAGTCTCACCGTCTCACTGGAGTTGATCTGAAGTTTATGACGAAAATATAAATCGAGACGGCCATCTGTGAGTATCTCCCAACCGGCGCGGTTTGCTTATTTATTAGGTACTACAGTATTTTGAGTAAGTATCCTTCTGTCAAAAGAAATAAAACCGCTATTGGTGGAGTAAAAATCCCATAGGGGGCACGGAATACACACTAAGTTTTGAATTATAGAGATGATTCTTCTATAACATACAACTCACACTAGTGCTAAGCACAACATGATCACATAGCAAAACATAATAATCATGACGATATTTGCTCTCATCTAATGAAGTGAGTACATCATATTCACTTGATTTATAGCGATCGGACATAATGAGATTAACAGCTATCAAGACTCACACGGTAATTCGGGTCTAATTTAAATACTACAGTATCACAATGGAGGATACGCTCAGTCGGATTCGAATGCCTCAAGGGTTTTTAATATAACTGTGCTACCCGGTCTATCTATGGTGTGATAGAGGATTGATATTTAAGCTGTGACGTTCTGCCAGCAGTTTGCCAAATTCCTCAACGCCACCAAGCACGGGATCCAACTGATCCCAAACTACGCCAACTGCATACTCAAATTTACTGAACTCCGCAACCCCATCACAACAGATAAAGCCAAGCTCCACTGGCCCGCCATCAAATAGGGACTGATTTCAAAATCCCGGCACTCGTTTTGAAACCCTATCATATGTTGACTCCTCCCGATCTCGCCGCCTCCGTATCCCCACCCCTACCCGCAAACCACTGTCTCTCTCAACTGGCTCCGGCTTTCTGCATGTCCCCTATTTCAACATTGGTCAACGCGCTTCCCACGAGGCAGACACTAATGCCCAAAATCTCTGAAACACCCCTTATCCACACTCCCTATTTTCAGGTCGCGCCTGAAGACCTTATTATTCAACAGTGCCTAATATCACTTTCCACTCCCCACAAGATCGGAGTTGAGCTCCGCCACGATCACTGCGATGTGTGATTGTTGCTGTGTAAATAGAAGGTAGTGTTGTTAATATCCACGAAATTTACGAATAACGACAGAAACACAGTGCATAACCTACCGATTCTTGTGTGGAGTTTTGGCAAATATATGTGCCAGACACCAAATTCACTGACCCACAATCAGCGGGTCAGTATTGGCCAAAACCCCGCTCTCCCTATGGCAGACTCCTCCATTTAACACAGATACACCTCACTGATCCTCGACGTTAGAATTGGCTGCAGGATGTCTCTCCATTAAACTCAGGAGATTGGAAACACAAACGTCAATGAATTGGGCATAGATCTTAAGTAACTCCACGACCTTTCCTATCCTTAGCTCTGACCTCCTGAGCCCATAGCAACCTGATCGCTCCCTCTGCTCAGCAAACTCAGGCGTGATCCACGTCCCCCCTCCCGACCGGCCCAACATTGTCCGTCGGTCTTTCAGCCTTCCTGACCCCACCCTGCGGAACTCCATCCTATATTATTATCGCCTCGCTCCCTTCTTGCCTTTTTCAAGGGGCATCTCAAAACCCTCCTCTTAGAACGGGAGTTCATCCACTCTCTTACAGTCCCTGCCCTTCACCCTTCTCGATCCCGAACCCCAGCTCAGGTCCAAATCAGTGATTTTCCAGCGGCGAAACCTCACATACACTGCAATATTAATCACTTGCACAAAAATAATAGAATGTGGAGAGCACAAATAAAGGCATTTGCTAATGTAATTTATTGAAACTAACATTCCTTATTAAATAGGTTTTGCTGCATAATGTATTTTGAGTTACACAATGATACATATTTCGGACAATGATACCTGAAACATTGCTGACGTGACTGAACTTGTTTGTTCCACCATCTATTACTTATGCGATGATAAAATCATCTCACAATCTCTATGGAGTTTCCTAAATGATACAAATATGTGACAGCATTAACTCAATATTGCAGAAGCGGATGCTCTAACTTTGCAAAATATATCGCTGCTGTGAAAGATGCCACGAAGATCTGAACTTTTGAATATACAAGCCATTTATTATCCTGTGCTTGCAGCAGTTGGAATTCCTGGTGAGTTGAATCATTGCTTGAAATCAGTAGTAGATAGCTATTGCTCAGGGTTAGAGCACTCTCCGAGCAACCGACAGAATTTTGTTCGTACCACAGCAAGGATATACGTTGGGCAAGTTTCCTTTCTCCACTTACCCAACACTCTGGAGCTCTGCCCATAGTCAG